CGTGTGTGTGTGTGTGTCTGTGTGTGGTCGTGTGTGGTGTGTGTGTGTCGTGTGTGTGTGTGTCGTGTGTGTGTGTGTCGGTGGTGTGTCGTGTGTGTGTGTGTCGTGTGTGTGTGTCGTGTGTGTGTGTGTCGTGTGTGTGTGTGTGTGTGTGTGTGTGTGTGTTGTCGTGTGTGTGTGTGGTGTGTGTGTGTGTGTGTCGTGTGTGTGTGTGTGTCGTGTGTGTGTGTGTGTGTTCTCGTGTGTGTGTGTGTCTCGTGTGTGTGTGTGTCTCGTGTGTGTGTGTGTGTCTCGTGTGTTGGTGTGTGTCTCGTGTGTGTGTGTGTCTGTGGTGTGTGTTGTGTGTCTCGTGTGTGTGTGTGTGTTGTGTGTGTGTGTGTGTGTGTGTCGTGTGTGTGTGCCCGTGTGTGTGTGTGTGTGTCTCGTGTGTGTGTGTGTGTTGTCTCGTGTGTGTGTGTGTGTGTTCTGTGTGGTGTGTGTGTCTCGTGTGTGTGTGTGTGTCTCGTGTGTGTGTGTGTCTCGTGTGTGTGTCTCGTGTGTGTCTCGTGTGTGTGTGTGGTCTCGTGTGTGTGTGTGTGTGTCTCGTGTGTGTGTGTGTGTGTGTCTCGTGTGTGTGTGTCTCGTGTGTGTGCGTGTGTGTGTGTGTCGTCTGTGTGTGTCGTCTGTGTGTGGTCGTCTGTGTGTGTGTCGTCTGTGTGTGTGTGTCGTGTGTGTGTGTGTGTGTCGTGTGTGTGTGTGTGTGTCGTGTGTGTGTGTCGTGTGTGTGTCGTATGTGTGTGTGTCGTGTGTGTGTGTGTCGTGTGTGTGTCTCGTGTGTGTGTCTCGTGTGTGTGTGTGTCTCGTGTGTGTGTGTCTCGTGTGTGTGTGTGTCTCGTGTGTGTGTGTGTGTCTCGTGTGTGTGTCTCGTCTGTCCCCTGGTAGTTGTCAGGGTGGTGCTGGTGAGGGCGGAGACGGGAAGATGTCGTTTATCTAGTAATTACGAACACCTGTGGCGGGAGGTGCTTAGATTTTACCTCCATCGTGTCTTAAGTGTGTCGCTTCGCGGGACACAGGAGTATACAGCGGTAATGGTGTACAATACCGACAAATTGTTGAATACGACGCATGTGCAACACCTCGGTATCTTTATTATGAAGACGTTTCCCCCTCCAGTGACTATAAAGCTGATAACAGTTATATGCAGGAGTTATTTGCCTGGTTGGAAAGTAAAGACAGTTGAAGACGAGGGACTGGCTGTTTGGTTGGAAGGGGGCTAACAGACTTGTTTTGAAGCAGTTATTGGGGGGGGGGGGTTATCTCATGTAATTTTGGAGAGGGTACTGAGCCACCTCAAACCAGGCATCTCCTCTTTCCCTTTATCGCCGCCAGCGAGTCCTTAACATCCGTCAAAATGCTATCTACTGGATTTAGGCTCCAAGGGCAAGGGGTGAATGATTCTTGATTCTCGGAATTGGATCTATCATTTCCTTCCATGGATTGAACCTGATTACCTATCATTCCCCAGGCACTGTATGACACCTTTACCTTTGAGTTATCTTTGCCGGGGTTCCAGAGTTTTCCTATTCTGCTAGTCTGGCCTTCGACCAGGCTTGTCTGGTGCTTGCCAGATCAGTAACTAGGCTGTTGCAGCTGGCGGCTCGCTGGCCCGGCCCACACATCCCTCACACTTTTAAGTTTAATTAGCAGAATTGTTAAGTTAGCGAGTTTCAGAAAAAAAATCACTTTGTGTAATCAGATGTTTTGTTTGTAAAATGTGGTACAGCATCATTGTTGTATAATAATGTTGTGATTTGGTGATAGTTTATGTTGATTCTTTTTTTTTTTTTTGTTCACTAATCGTGTACATATTTCATTCAATACCTTTCATTTGTAATTTTTAGTCAATGTGATAAACTTAGTAACATTATTCAAACTTGATTCATGAAATTGTACTAAAAGGATTATACACTGGCTAGCCTAGGTTTAGGACTCCTGCCATGGGTTCAACTCCCAACCTGTTCTCTGATTAATATTCCTTCTGGGGGCATTATGGCATCCCGGGGCGAAGTATAAGGGCTGGTCATTGTCATATAAGGGAATTTATTGAGAGATGTCCAGGAGGGGAAATACTCGGTTTAGATTTGGCTCATGCGTATGATTGTGTGAACAGGGATTTCTTAAGAGTTTGTTTGGAGAACTTGGTTTGCGGCAGGGTTGTCCGCTCTCTCAGTTGCTGTTTGCCTGTGTGCAGAATCCTTTCTATGGGCTTGTGGATGAGGTATTGAATAGACAAGGGATGATGGGAGTTTGCAGAGGGGTATTGTTGGGTATGTGGATGATACTACTGTACTGGTAATGGGTGAGGAAGATTTAAGGATGGTCGGTGGAGTAATTCAGATTTTTGGGAATGCTACGGGTATGAGAGTCAATCTAATGAAGTAGAGATTATTAGAGGTGGGGAATTGGATTGGTGGGAAATTGGGGGAGGGGTTGGGATGGACAGTAGTTGACAGAATTAGGGTATGTGGGGTATGGTACATGGCGGAGGTGCGAGAATGCAGGAGGGTCAATTCGGAATTAGTTACGAGCAGGGTTTTGGATAGGCTTAGAAGTTTAAGGGCTACGGATGTAGCGTTACAACAGAGAGTATTGGTGGTTAACTCGCTGGTCTATAGTAAGGTGTGGTGGGTGGCAGAGGTGCTTCCTTTAAGAGTACAGGACATTCTGGAAATCCAGAGGAGGGTTTTAAGGTATGTGTGGGGGTTTGGGAGGGCTTGGTTACGTAAGGAAGTAGTAATGATGGATGTGTGACGAGGGGGTCTCGGCCTGTAGGCGTTGGGTCCTAGAGTAATGGCTATATATATTAAACAAAGGTATATACGGGCAGGGGGGGGATCGGGGTATTAGGGTGGGCAGGGTGATGGAGGATGCACGCAGATGGTGGTGTGGTAGGGATTTGAGGGATTGTGAGGATATGTTGAGGTTTTTATTGACTGTAAGACAGGTGTCTAAATTAAAGGTAAAAAGGCTGGTGCGTGCTGTGGGGGGTCAGGGTTTTACAAGGGGTCGCTGTATACCCAGCGTATGACTGGCAGACCATTTGGAGGGAGTTTAGCTTGTTTAGGATACCAGCGGGGGTAAGGGAGTTAGTATATCGTTTTATTATGGGAATTTTGGCCTCTAAGGATGAGCTGCGTAAAATGGGTCTTGTAAAATAGGCCTCATGCTTGCACTGTGGGGACGTCGAAACAGCTTTTCATGCGGTATTTTTTTTTTGTCCCTCTTTGGAGGGGTGAGATTATGGATGGGGGGGTGTTATCAGACTTTTGGGGGGAGGTGGTCGTTCCTACGGGCTTTATTGTTGGATGTAAATGGGGTGCCAAGGGATGTAGGAAGGGCTTTAATATATATCATAGCGGATTATTTATGTTTCTTGGGGGATGAGGGAGGTAAGGGGAGATTTGAGGATAAAAGCGTTAGCGGCGAGGTTTTATAGAACGATGTGTAGGAATAGACAAGTCTATGGGGGGCGGTGGACAACCAGCTTCTCGGAGGGTTACAGGAATCTCACTGTGGGTCGCCTCCTTCTCGTGAACCCAGGGGGGGGGGGGGCAAAGGGTTGGTCTCCTTCCGAGGGATGTATGAGGGTAAGGTGGTTCAGCAGCAAAGTTGTGTGGATAGTGTGTGGGGAATGGATGATGTGAAGGAATGAGATATGTGATAAACTAATTTAACTTATGGTTATGTTCCCTGCGTACAGGATAACCTTTCTAACCAGGTAACTAAACCTTGGGATCTCTGGTTAGGCACAGTACTGTATTAATTTTATACCCATGTTAAATTTAATTGCTGTTCAACGAAATTCATTGTGGGGTGTTGTGACCCTGCATATTTGCATTGTTGTAAAAAATTAGTGGTTTTAGGTATGAAGCTTAGTGGTTTAACACCTGGAACAAAATACCTTTTCCCTTTTATTCACAGGCGAATGGTGTGCTAATTCGTAAAGGCGTTTGTGTTTTTTTGGGACACACGTTTTTAATATTTAATAATAGTATTGTATGTAATCTATGCAAAACATATTATTGTGGCACTCAGTTATGAGTAACATCGCTGGGGGGGTTGGAAGGGCGTGTTAGGGCTTTATATATACTAGTTGCAACACTCACGATTCCAGGAATAAAGCACTGGGCGGATAAATTTGCCGTGGCTGTGCACCCTTTCAGCCACACTTAGGATTATGTGCCTATTGAAGGTGTGAGTGGTTATGTAACACCAGGGTATAGGTATAACATATTGTGAGGTGTTATGTAACACCAGGGTAGGGGTATAACATATTGTACAGATAGATATTGAGTGGAGTAAACCATTACTAAACTTGATTGTTCTAAGCTACTGTAATTTTATGGTTGTATATACATCATAAGTATGCATCTCCTTTTTAATGTTTATACATATATATTATTGTACTCGCTTATATATTCCTGTTGCAACAAGCTTGCAGTGATACCTAGTTATGGATATGTTGTGTTTTGAAATTAGGGGGGATTGATTAGTATAGGCGGGGGATGATTGTCACTTTAGGGTAGTGTCTAGGACACTTGTGGAAGGTTTACTTGGGTTCATCTTTTAATAAACCTAATTAACTTATCTTTGTAAATAAATCATACTAGAAAATAGCCTTTATAATCATGTTTGTTATGCGCTGCTGTATGTTACAGCTCTAAGTGCAACACATGTATATATTTTCAATTTTTGGGTTATAGATATCGTTGTCATTACTGATATTGTATAGTAGCTCCAGTCAGGCACTGGACGACTAGCAATGAACTTGATGTTTTATTGTAGCCTTTAAGTTGTATAGTTAAGTCCTCCAGGGTAGAGTCCAGTACACTTTCGGAGTGGACGGGATGCTTGAGTTTTTATGTGACATGATTGTAATACATGTTGTATATAATTATACGAGGATTGTATGTGTAATGTTCGTTTAAATAAAATATAAAAAAAAATATTCTTTCTTGCAGGTGAAGATTTGGTTCCAAAATCGTCGGTCTAAGTACAAGAAGCTGATAAAGGCTGCAAACTTGAGGCTAGAACCGGATTATGGCGACGATGATGCTCCCTCCCCGCCCCCCAGCAAGCGGAGACACTTGCTGCGCAGGTGTGTACATTGTCAAAGCTGTCAGGTATAGCAGTCACATTCTGTAACATACCATTCGATGGTTCTAGCCTCGTAGCACCACACAAGGTCAGGTTTACATAACGCAAAAAGCGCACGCATTGGAAGAAAATTTGGTTGACACTTTGATCCGTAAGGGATAATTCTCAAGGCACTAGGTTATAGGAATAGAGAGAGCCAGTAGTCAGGTGGAGATGAAACAGTAGACGTATGGGTCTGCTCTAATGGTTAGAGCATTTGATGTAGTCAGGTATCAGTGAAAACTAAATCTGTGTTAGTATCAGCAAGGCAAACAGTTCAGAGTTCTTGTTAGTCTAGTAGAAAGGGAGTGTTTAGTTTCTCCAACTTAATAAAACATAAGTTGGGTAGAAAATAAGATTAATCACCCAAGGTGTTGGTAGCAGGATAGGTAGCAGGTAACAGATTCCTTCCAGGTACATTAGACGACATGAAAGTTTACTATACAAGGGCTAAGGGTGCTATATAGATTCTGTAAATTGCCACTTTTCCTTACCCTCGTTGATCATGATGCATGGATGTAGAGAATAAATAACTCTTCTCCCACCATGTTATACATGGTAAAGTAGTGGACATGAAAATAGTACATTCAGGGAAAAAATCCAAGTTTGCCTTACTATGTCTCTAATTTATAGAATTTTAAGTCCCTTTTTTTTCTCCTGGATACTAAATTTGCATTTTCAAACGTATGCACTTCTTAAGAATTTATTATAAGTAATTATATTTTTGCCACACTTTTGCTATTCCTGACAGACATCGAGTCAAAGTGTTTGATTATTTTTTTGACATTATGAAATATCTTGCCTATTTTGTTTGCCTTAACGCAATTTTATTTGCTTTTTTTGAGCCTTTACAGTCTTTAGCTTGTAACATTGGCCTTTATACGCAACATCCCAGTCACAGCTCTAAACCCTGGCTTCGTTATCAATACTTGTCATTGTTAAATACTTTAATCTCCAGAACACTTCTTCACCTGATTTTGATTGTCTTCTGGTATCCTAATACCACGAACTTACAAATGACTTTCACCATTCTTATCACCTCGTGACCTGATAGGAGTTTACAGGGTGAACCAAAATTTTTTTTTTAACAATGTACTAGCTGTATTTAAAAAAGTGTGTGCATTTGTGTTTGCATGGATAGTTATTCTGTAGTCATTCATTCAGTCTATCATTATTAGCCAATAATTGGAAATTTCTAGATATGAAAGCATAAAGTGGTAGAAGAAAGCAGATCAGCCAGGAAGAGAAAATGTTTGGAGATAGAAGCGAGGATAAACAGTAATCACAATATTACAAATTTTAGGAATCAGTACTTACATACCTGGAGAGGCTTTCGGGGGTCAACGCCTCCGCGGCCCGGTCTGACACCAGACCTCGTGGTGGATCAGGGCCTGATCAACTAGACTCTTACTGCTGGCCGCACGCAAGCTGACGTACGAACCACAGCCCGGCTGGTCAGGTACTGACTTGAGGTGCCTGTCCAGTGTCTTCCTGAAGACAGCCAGGGGTCTGTTGGTAATCCCCCTTGTGTATGCTGGGAGGCAGTTGAGGAGTCTTGGGCCCCTGACACTTATTGTGTTAGTCTCTCAGTGTACTCGTGGCGCCCCTGCTTTTCATTGGGGAAATGTTGCATCTCCTGCCGAGTCTTTTGCTTTCATAGGTAGTGATTTTCGTGTGCAGGTTTGGTACTAATCCCTCTAGGATTTTTCAAGTGTATATTATCATGCATCTCTCTCGCCTGCATTCCAGGGAATACATATCAAAGGACTTCAACAGTTCCCAGTAATTTAAGTGCTTTATCGTACTTGTGTGTGCTGTGAAAGTTCATTGTACACTCTCCAGGTCAGCAATTTCGCCTTCCTTGAAGGAGGCAGTTAGTGTACAACAGCCTAGACAGAACAAGCGATCTGAAGAGAATCATCATGGGCCTGGCATCCCTAGTTTTGAAGGTTCTCACTATCCATCCTATCATTTTCCTATCAGATGTGGTAGATACATTGTTGTGGTCTTTGAAGGTGAGATCCTCTGACATTATCACTCCCGGTCCTTCATAATACTTTCTCGCTCTATTGTATGGTTAGAATTTGTTGTGTACCCTGATAGTTTTAATTTCCTAAAGTTTTCCATAACTGTGAAGTAAAGGCATGTTTGCAACACTTATGATTCAGGCAGTTTTTATTTGAAATGAAAGAGTGAATGGGAAGATTCCGACAGTTGGTAACAGACATAACTGGAATAAAAACCTTTATTTGTACAGTACTTTGCTCAAAATTGGGCTTTGCTGGCACATTAAATAGCAAACAAAAGAAATAACGGCGTAGATAGTTCAGAGGAAGTGACGTTGCTTGTTTGGGTGTAGTTAAAACTACTAGTGTATGGAAGGTGCGCTACAGGAGGCCTACTGAGTCTTGTTAAGTTTGCTGCTCTTATTAATACAATATGCACTGCGGGAGTTGACAGAGTAAATGTATTGTTTTGTTTGATGGTGTTGGTTATTTTAATTGATAATTCCAGACATCTTTTCAGTTCGTGTTCCTGTCGTGTTGAGCTGGGGCCCGCGCCGTCAGGTGTGGGTGTCGTTGCGTTGCTGTACACAGGTGTTATGGGTGTTGCCTTCACTAAGAGCATGTGTGTTTCTGTAATTGAACTGGTAGAACAGCCGCTATAAGCAAAAGATTGGATTAGCAGTGCGATCACCCCCTAAGTGCCGTCCTGGCAAACTTGTACCATTTATATATATATATATATACACACACACACACACAACACACACACACACACACACACACACACACACACACACACACACACACACACACACACACACACCTGGTTAAGATGTGTAGATAACATTCTGATCATCGTATTTCCAGATGGTATAATCTACTACATCTCCAAGAGTCTTAACCAAGTGGAACCATTTGTATTCTACTCTAAAAGAGATCCATAGATAGCCTAACTGTTCTTGATATCGGAGTCATTAAAGTACACGGAGTCCTGTAAACAGCAGTTTATCGTCCAGTTGTTTCTCTAACTATAGTTTAAAAACCAAGAAGGGAGTATTGACTGCGTTCTACCTGCAGTGAAGCATTCCTGGAAGAGGAACAGAACTTCAACCTTCACAAACATTAACTTTCCTTCATGCATAATTCTACTCTTAAGACATACACTGAAATGCCAGGAGTTGGGAAACTAACAGATGGTGATGCATATTATCCATAGGCATCATTGCAGACACTATCACCCATTTTTTTTAGTAACCCAGCAACTGATGTCGCAGTAGTCATTACGAAGACAATATGAGACTTCACAATGACCTCGACACCATGTATATGCCCAAGGATGTAAGTGTGTGCAGAATTCCCTGTGGTTGTGACCAGGTATATATATATATATATATATATATATATATAATATATATATATATATATATATACATCAAGACAGACATCGAACATTTCATCTACAGAAACACAGATATGCTCGTAGAAAAGATAACATCAATAACCGCATCGCAGCTCTCACACCTCATGGCGTGGGCCCATGCTGAGCAAACTGTGCCAGCAATACGACACATTATGATGCCTAGAATCATCAGCTGTTAAGCTAACAGACACATCAACCAAAACATTAGGATATTTACTGTCAACTCCCATAGTGCATAATGTTTTGAAACTTATTAAAATGAGCAGGGACCTTAAGTCTGTTGCGATGCATCTTCCATGCTTGAGCAGTCTAACGCGTGACACCTGAGCCAGAGACGCCTGTCGATTATTCAAGCTATTGCTATTGTCCGCTATATACGCATTTGAAAAAGCCCCATGCAAGATGGTACATTGTCTTTGCTGAAGTCGTATCTTCGCTACTTCATCCAGTTGGATTATAAAAGCCTCTGAACAAAACTTTTTCCATGTAGAATATCCACAGTGTTGCGTGTATATATTTACTTCACAATGATAGTGGTATCTGAAGGTTTAGTCATATATAATGTGATACGCGAGTTCGCTGGTGTTCAAGTGTTAACACTGATAATTAACGTTATGAATAATTATCACAGTAGTGTCCAGAGGTATACTCAGATATATAATGGGATATTTTTTATGGTATGTTTGTGTTAAGGAATCATGATGTTGATTGGTGGTATGATAACGACAAGTTGATAAACAAGATACATGTACATGTTCAACACTTGCGTATCTTTACTGCCTAAACGTTAGGGTAATAAAGTTACCCGAGTGTTGCACATGTCATATTCATCGTGGAATCATACTGTCGAAGAATATAACCCTTAATTTTTTCAAAATTCTTGCCTTATTTTTTTGTTATTTTTGAGAGTTTTAGCATTGATTGTTCTGGAGACAAAATAATAGATTCTTATTTAGGCCTGAAGTTTATTTCATTCTCTGAATAGTATGTGAATATAGCAAGAACGGGGGGAAAGGGATGTGCATGTTTTATTTCCTCTGTATAAAGTTTTGAGAGGAAACTATTATTGCTATCATTTAAACATTTTAATAGGAATTGGAGACAAAATATGCAAGTCTTAATTAGAGTTTGTTAAACACTGTTTAACACCATTTGTGAGTTAGCTATAAAGTGTTTTACGCCAGTCTTTAAACCTTATAATAAAAATAAGTGTAATATTGAGACGAATTAATATCCAGGTGACTATCTGTACAGGCAGAAACCAGCATCACCGAGCAACAGGTGGAGCAGCAAGCCTGGGATGTACACAGCCAAGGGAGCAGCTCCTCGCCCTCAGACACCCTCCATCTCATCCGTCCACAACTATGGCTCCTATGCTCCGCCTGTTGGCTACTATGGTTTCCAGGGTTATCCAGTGCCCCTGACTAACATGTATGGAGCAGTGCCACTCACTGTGCCAGCAGTACGACCCACCTTGACAGGACAAACAGTGAGTGACAGTGGAGTGCAGATTGCTTCCTCTTCTGCTGGCATTGCCAATCCCTCTGCTACAACGCACTTGGACTCTTCCTCTTCTTCGTACCTAGACACTACTCGTTGCAGTGATAATACCCTGCAGCAAAATCCTGAGAGTCCTGTGGGTGCACCAGAGTCTACTCAACATGACCATTCTTCCAGCAAGAGCATGGAGCGGCATGTTACTGGACCCAAGCAAAAAAAGAATTTAAAGCGAGAAATGGGTTCAAAATATGGCTACTGTAGTGAGCTTCATGGATCCAGAAACATCCATGTGTCCAGCCATCAGCAGGGACTCACCCCAGACACCCAGGTGGAGAGTCCTAACTCCACAGATCTAGCGAAGACTCAGATAAGTTCCTCCTGTGAAACTGTTCGCTGCAAAACTGAAACCCCGAGTCTGTCCGGTGTGAATATGCACTCGTATACCATCAGTAAGGTAGAGTACGATTCCTTTGAAGATTCACTAGAAGCAGGAGCAAATGCATCAGTTTCCGATGTACGAGAGAAGACGAGCACTTCGCCACAAACACGAACACCCAATTTCTGTCCTGCAACCTATGCTGGCTCGCACTTTCTGTCTCAGTCCGTGACTGATCATGGTGCACAGTCAAGCTTCTCATGCCCTGGGCATTTAGGCAATCATGGTAACCAGCAGTATCCTGAAGCTGTTCAGGAAATTAAAAAGGATGAGCTGGATGCTTCCAACCCGTCACTAGGTTACACCTACGTCTTGCGACCATCCCAGTATGACCCAAGTCTCTACGATGATAGCGATAATTATGTATTCAACAGTTCGCAGTATCATTCTGCACCATCTCAGGGATGTGCCAAAGAGGAGAAGATGTATTCTGATGCATACAACAACTATCTGCAGCACCAGATTAATAACACCTATGAGAACAATCACATGAACCACTTGCAACTCTCTCCCAGTTGTGTGTCTGAGAATACGAATGTTAGAACAGCCTCCACATCCTCCAGTGCATCCACTTTATTGGTAAATCCAATGTCGCTGCTGGCACAGTCGGAGGAGTGCGACGAGGAGGGCTTCCCCATGGTCGACTGTGATGAGCAGGAGAGAGAACAAAATGATTTCGACTCGCTGGATCTAGCGGTGCTCCAGGACCAGCAGCAGAAGATTGTGCTGTGTGATTAACTCGGTAAGAGTGTAATTACAATGTTGTTTATTAACTGCCTTTACCAATCTGCAATTAGTGGACTGAGGATCGACCCTCCAACACTCCTTACACTGAATCACCAACATGGATTTAGTGCATCATGTAAATAATGACATTGATAATAAATGGAAATGTGATAATCAGAAATTTGCCTAAATTTTCTCTTCTATAACCTGTTCAATTTGCTTCAGTTTTTGACCAACTTTAACATTATGTTAATATTACATAAACTTCAGCTTGTGCTTTTACTCTGTTCAGTAATATATTAAAATGTTCAGCATGACAGAACCCACGAATATCAGGGACTAAAATTATACATGTAGTAAATATCTAGAGGGAAAAATCATGTGTTGTGGGGTGAATGTCCCCAGATTCAAGAATTCTAGTTAGTCTAGAATTAAGTAACAAATGTTGGCTATGTTGTGTCATCTCAGTAGTGTGCAATATGGTTGGTACACACATTTGTAACTTCAGTGACTCAATAAAGACAACTAGTAAAGTTACATTCACTAGTGCATAAAATATACAGTTATTAAATTATTTCTACTTAATTGACAGCACTCTGCTTAATTATTTTCTAAGAGCCACTAAGCTTGTTAAACTGAAATCTACGTATTTGTATTGAAAGTATTTTTCAGTGATAGATCTTTGTTTTATATTATATATAATATTAAAACTTAGGATTTATTGTATCCTAAATAGAAACAAGTGTTTTTCAAGCCCAGAATTTTCATGGTGCGTTTTGTTAAATTCGTTTTTTTTATTCGATCCGCAGTTTACATATAGATCAACGATGAATAAAGTTTTATTGTTATATACTGTATCTATATTCTTAGTTTTAGCACTGTAGACTTCAGTGCCGTACTCGCATGATCACTCTTTGCACTGATTTGCAATTCACAGCCGAAGGATTAGACATTTAATAATCTTGTAGCAATACTAACTTTTTGGTAATATTTAAATGTTTTCATTGAAAGGAATCCTTACTGTATGTATGTGGCTACATAAATTTATTTAAATTAAAGATTAGTTATTTTAGTGTTAATAAGAAAAGTTTTTAATTTAAAATTAATACAGGTCTGCTGGTAAATTTTACTTTTAACTGATATAATCCCATAGTTACTGTTTCTAACATTATCAAATTGGCAAGGATTTGAACTCATTTGAATTAACTTTATAAACTTTATCTGAACTTAGGAACACTTGCATTAATACATAATGAAATATACATTTAAACTATGACCATTTGAATTCCTATTTTAAGAATTGCACATTCGAACTTAATGTAAAAAAAATTAATCTGTTTTTTGAAATGTTGGTTTCAACCATGAAGACCCCCCCCCCCCCACACACACACACACACGAGTTCTACATTTATTATACAAGTCAAGAACTGTTATACTACCTCAGTTTATTTCAAAGCAGCGAACTAGCAGTATTTTTTTATAGTGTGTTTATATGTGTGACAATATTTTATATGTTAAGCAACATTCATATAGGAAAGATGGAGGCAACTGTGAACTGTATTACAAGTTAACGTTAATGACGGAGCAGTAGTGTTGTGGTGGTCATATAGAGCTGGAGAATGGGAAGTAATCAAGTTTGATCTGAGGAAGAGAGGGTATCTTCAACTGTTTAGATCAAGAGCTCATCAGCATCAAGAGGCAAAATGTTAATTTTGTCAAATAGCCTTAGTCACTCTAGTGTACAGACAGTATTTTGCGAAAACCTGTTCCAAACAATAAAGAATATGCAGGAGCAAATGGAGGAATGTTCTTATGAAGGGTAATCCTTCAGCGGAGGTGCCTTGATGCCGGTGAAGGGAACTTGATACAGTAGAAGGGGAGCTTCCCCTCCCTTGGATCAAATTTAGTTGCTTCTGTTCACCTGGTGGCGCATGTCCCCTACAGGTTGAACCCTCCCTTATAATATTTAAGGTCACAACCAATGTAATATTATTCACGACTGTCCGTCTTGTGGTATAATAACCGTATTCAGTTTTTTTTTCTTCAAGTTAAGGACTTTTGTATTTGTGCAGGTTGTCATTTAGCATAAAAGTACGGCACACATCATCTCACTGTTCATGTTAGTTTCCTCTTCATATTCCAAACTGCTGGTGTTTAGAGGTGAAATATCTTTATAGCTTAGTGTACATAATTTGTGAACGTTTTGGATAGAAATGTGGCATTATGATTTGTATATGATTTTTGGTGTGGGGTTTGTGAGGGTCGAATTGTGGTACAGACTGTGTGACGCTTGAATTGTGGTACAGGCTGTGTAAAGCTTGAATCATAACATCAAATATGAGAGAAACAAGCTGCAGTTCAAGCTTCTACTGGGAGAATGTCTCGCTCTGTATAGAGCTTTCATCAAGTCATGACTTGATGAAGCTCTACGTGCAGAGAAACGTCATTTCATTGGAAGCTCACTCTTACATCTTGTGTCTGGGACTTGTATTCTTGCCAGCACTCTGCCACTCCATCCAACGTAGACGATGAGGCTTCACGTTTGTTTACAAGAACATGTTAGCACTGTGGTTAGTGGTTTACCTCAGTGATCATTCACATTCTTAGTGTTTCTGAACGCTAGTAATCAGTTTTGTTTACAAGAACATGTTAGCACTGTGGTTAGTGGTTTACCTCAGTGATCATTCACATTCTTAGTGTTTCTGAACGCTAGTAATCAGTTTTGTTTACAAGAACATGTTTGCACTGTGGTTAGTGGTTTACCTCAGTGATCATTCACATTCTTAGTGTTTCTGAACTCTAGTAATCACCTTTCGTAGATTTACGCTTGTTAATTATCCTTATTTTTAATTTACTAAATTGAACAGAGATGGAAATTGTTAATAACTTACAAAACACTTGTATCTGACAAGTAATTTTTATATTACAAATCTTGTGGGATTCATTATATGACTGTAAATACTTTTTTTCGTTGGTTTAGGCAACAAGAAGACAGCTAGAATGAATGGGATACAATGTAGGGAAAAACGTTTTATGTACAAAGATTCGTCCACGAAGGGGTTGGGCGAGTACTTGGTAAAACCACTTCGTGGGTGAAACATTGTACAGAACATTGAGGTTATCTCCTTTCATGTTATGTTTTGCTCTTTCCATCTCTGCAAATTTAGTGGGCGATTTTTCCCCTAATTCTACTACACGAAAACTTTATTTTTGTTTATCCAATAAAAAATAGAAATACATCATGCTATTTTATATGAAGTTCCTATTTTTATCACAATGTAATTATAACCTAGAAGATAACACTAATTAATATTTCAAGTGTGCAGAGCCTAACCACTTAAATTAGGGATTGCTTTCTTAATTTAAAATGATGAAGAGCTTTTGATCCAAGGACATGAAGGTACACTCCTCTTGGATCAAACTCTGTAAACACTTGTGGGTTTAGTGCTTCCTCTCTGAGTATATTAAGTGAATTAAGGCTCGACTTATTCAACAGGAAGACAAGGAAATGTAGCTAGGATGTGGGTGTGCGCGCGCCAGCATCAACAGTCTGGTTGATCAAGGCTTGCTGAGGATGTAAAAAAGGTGAGCCGTACATGTTTAACCCTTCCCATTGGATATTATAATGTGTATTTTTTTTTTTATGTTCTGTGGTAGAAGTAATGTTCTCGGAGCAGTCCTTGTCTACCTGGAGGGAGTTCCGGGGGTCAACGCCCTCGAGGCCCAGTCCTTGACGAGGCCTCCCGGTGGATCAGGGCCTGATTAACCAGGCTGTTACTGCTGGCCGCACGTGTAGTGAAATATTTTTTTTATTTTTAATTCACGCCCTTTTCTCTTCCTAGTTTTTTTTTAGTTGTTTTGTTGGTTTTTGAGTTGGAACGAATTTTGAATTATGTGGGAGTAGGGTTGGTGTTTGTATGACAGCACTCGGACGCCAATCTGTTTCTCTCTCTCTCTCTCTCTCTCTCTCTCCCTCTCTCTCTCTCTCTCTCTCTCTCTCTCTCTCTCTCTCTCTCTCCCAGTGATTTGCTGCTATTATCCACCTTACAATGTAGAGTAAATGAAGGAATAATGCCCACGCGGAATTAGCCAAGGGGAGAGAGTGTAAGAAAGATTCCGGGGAGGAGTAGCAGCTCCCTCTGTTATCACCCTTAAAGTCGGGCAAGGTAAGGGTGTCATTCCTCCAAACCTGGCAGCCGCTGATGCGCCTTAGGGCAAGTTTCCTGAAATCTGAACTTGGAAAGTGTAATAGTATTCCAGATTCCTGTTCCAGTCACTGGCAGTTATGGGAATATGAATCTAATGATTGGGTACATTAGGAGTCAGAGTTGAGAAATAATGGTGCTCCGAGCAGAGGGGGGTGGAGGGAGGGTTTTGACACAAGGGTGAGGGAGGAAAGTTCTGGTCACCATGGTAACATCTCCACCCTGGTAAACACACACCATGGAGCTCGCGACTGTATTCCATCCCTCCTTTCCTTTTCTCACAAATAAAATTTCTTTTTGCTATATGATGCTCCTATCACACACTACATAATTCATGGATTATCAAGGCTGATGGCCTAAGGTGTCCCGTGGCCTGGCAGGTAACGCTCTCGCCTTGACCCTAGTGGGTTTAGCGCTTCTTTTTTTATAATAAAAACGCTCTCGTCTAACACAGTGTCCTTAGTTCAGTCCCCGGCCGGGTGGAAACATTTGGCTTGTTTCCTTACACCTGCTGTCCCTGTTCATCTAGCAAGCAAGTAGGTACTGGGTGTGAGTCGCATTTGGTGCGAGTCGCATCCTAGGGGACAAGACTGAAGGACCACAGTGGAAATAAGAGTCCTCGATGACGCACTGACTTTCTTGGGTTATCCTGGGTGGCTAACCCTCCGGGGTTAAAAGTTCGAAAATCTTATCTCTACCCTGAGGGACAGTTTACATCCAACTCACTTCACATCTTTTCTCTGTTGGACAGATAGTCACTGGTTGGAGAAGCGTCTCTACATTAAAGATACCCAAGTGTTGTTGTACAGATGTCTCACTCGTGTACTTGTCAGTTTTCTTAATTTTCTTAATAACTATTTCTTAATTTTCTTAATTAATAACTATTGACTTAGAAGGTTTCTGAGTTGAGGAATTGCATTTACGAGGGGGCAGTTGATCGTTCAACGGAGTTGTGGCATCTTTGCTGCTGCTGGCAAATGTAGTTTTATCGGGGGGGGGGGGGGAGATATTGCTTTAAACGTCGTACTTTTCTGCTAATTAATTGTATTTTGGGGTAGCCTCCAATGAGATAACTATATAATGCCTTTTCATGTTGGCTTTAAACTGTCAAAGCTAATGTTTTTTAGTGAAAGGTTTGAATTATTTTTGCGTTCATGGGAGCGTTCTGGCTTGATCCAGAACGCTCCTCTGAACGAATCTGCTTGGACTTCCTACTCATTTCTGCAACACGAAAGGCCAAGAGCTATCATCCAACGTCCCTGTAGTTATTTTGCCTTTTCCCTTG